AGCCGCATTTTGAGGGGAAGCCGGTTTCGCTAGCGACTGTAACTGGCAGCTCTGAAGTCTTAGCTGGGACAATCGATCCTCTTCTTCATCCATCAGCTTGCCGGCTTACACTTTCCATAGGGGTTGATGAAATTGAGGCGTAGAGCCGTGTAGCCAGTTTAGGGTTGGCGGGGGCATCCCAATGAACTTTTTCTGCTCGGGATGTCCTGACCGTCCATAAATGGACCACTGGAAGACACCTCAAACAAGTTGACTCGGCATTGCCGGGATGCGGAGGTCGAGCAGCTGCCATCGTGGCCGGAAACATCTCCAGGACATCTTCGAGTCCACGATCGGTAACTATGTAACTAACTAGTTAGTTATTATGTTTTTTGGCACCCCACACGGCGGCGCCGACCCTCGTGGTTTTCTCTAACGTATTGCTGAGAAGGCTGTCAAAGCCGCCGGGTTTTCCGTTAATGAACAGATCATTAATACACTTTTGCCGTCGGCAGAACGCCTTAGGGAGCTGAGAGACGAGTTTGGCCTGATGGCTCCTGAGCAGAATTGGATAATACACTCCTTCTAGGAGCAATTAGGCATTAAGCGGTCATAAGGTAAGTGGGCTAACATATCCTGTTACATTGCTAAGTTAATTATGTTGACAGGTTGTCAAGGATACATCCTCCTATCTCAACCTTCTAGCTATTAAGGTTTCCGAGTATATCGGACGATTACCCAAACGTGCGGCGCCATGGTCTCAGGATCTTTTAACCAAAAATTTGTTCCAGAAACTGTTTCGTTCGGGTAACATCGTCGAGATTGAGTGATGGTTTGACTGGGTATAGAAAGTAATAAGTGAGGACCTCCTTCGTGCATCAGACGTGGTAATCAGATTAATACTAATAAGATTTTGACATTGCATGTGGATGGCTGGGTAGTGGAACTGATGTCCCGGTTTAGTGCCGAGACCAGAGAGTGGCAACATTATTGTATCAAAGAATAGTATAAGAGAGCCATATTAAGTGTGCTTCTATCCACTCCTAGTATATTCTATATACAGAAGGTATATGAAGAGCGTATAGAGAGAGGTGGGTGGGAAGAAGAAATTTAGGTTATTAGACTTTTATGTGATTACAGCACTTAACGACGGCCTTGTGTATCTTCTTAATAGCTTACGACAGCAGCGTTTGTTTTGACCTGTCCATTAAATCTACCCTAACTTACTAAACCTAGAATACAACTGATTCTATTATAATTAACTCTATTCTATTTCTGGTATATAGAGGCATATCTGTTGCTTTCCATAATCCTTAATTTACTACTTTAAAGTGATATATAGGATGTTGACTTTAGCAGTGCAGTGTAATAAAGCTAATTTTTTAGTTTAGTAAAATACCTTACTTAAATTATATCTTTTATCTGATAGGGAAGGGCGCCGTGTATTTTATCTTAAAAGTAGCTATTCTCTCTTATACTGCGTATAGTTTCATCTTCTTTTAGCGTCTATTTACCACGCTTTAGCCTAGCCTCTTTTATTATTAAAAGCGTTTTTAGTTGTAATTATGTCTTATAAATAGTTGCAGGAGAGATCAACGTCTTCTTATTAGAGAAAATACTAAGTACTATAGGGTTAATCAGTAGGCTAATATATCTTAAGATATATAGTAATTTAAACACTATATTATATATTATCTTATTACTAATTATAGTGCATTTTAAGAAGCTCTGGAAAGGCTATTCTTAATACTTAGTAGTAACTATCAGCTCCTGCGTAGTAGAGATACTTTAAAACGTCTATAAGACACTACTTAGCTTATTTTATCTAGGGTTTAGGAGAGCCTTAGACTTAACTAAAAGATAAGTAAAATAATGTCTAAGTTAACATCATAAGTAGTGTCCGCTTAGAGGTATTAGGATAATATTATTAGTCTACTTTAGAGACTTCTTCTACTATTTTATAGGTAGCCTTTATTCTTTATTATTATTATCCTTCTCCTTATGAAAGTTATTAGAGTGATTGCTACTACCAGGCTACTAAGTATTATTAACTATTTCTTAAATATTATCTTAATAGTATTACTTCTCTCTGTGCTGGCCTTATATCTCTAGTTTACTAACTAGCTTACTAACTGGTTTATTAGCCTATTCTATAAAAGTCTACTCATTTAGATGGTACTTTTTATTAATATAAAGAGATAACTATATAATAAAATTAGGAGATAACTTAAGAGAAATAGCTGCTGTTATTTTTTCCTCGCTTTTTAAAAGCTAAGTTATTTTATTAAGGAGCTCTGCAAGTTCTTTATTACCCCACTTAGTAAGTTCTTTATTTAAAATACTAGATAGATTTTCTAGTGCTAATTTCTTTTAAGTATTTTAAGTAATCCTACTAGAATTAAGTTTAGCCTCATCTAGTAATTATACTAGCAGGTTGTTAGAAGAAAGAGAGAGTTTATGTTTTACTAAAAATAGTACTCTTTCTAGCTCGCTTAAGTTAAGTAAGTTAGGAGAATAAAGCAGCACTTATAGCCTAAAGGTAGTACTATTAAATAGAGAATTCTTACATAGCTTCGCGTCTCGCTTAGCATTAATATAGCTAATATTACTGAAAATTGATTACAACTCATTATTATCGTCCTTATTAATTGTAATTAGGTTTTCTGTCTATAGTTAGTGTATAACTTCTTATCTCGCTAAAAGCTAACATAGAGATCATGAAAGGACTAGTAGTTTACCTTAAGTACTTCTACTTCCTCTATTCTGCACCTAATAAGGCGGTGTTGGTTCTGCTTTATTACTAAGCTTCCTATAGTCATTTAAAACTTACTTATCTAAGTAGTAAAGAGTATATGTAGACTTTAAAGACATAGCTACAGCAATATCTATAGGCAGTTTAGAAAGTAGTAACTATTTTATAGGAAACTTGCTGTAATCTTTCTTGTTACTGCTAGAGATAATAAGGCCTTTATTATCTGCCTTTAAGACACGCTGATTATTAGGTTGAGTAAATGCCGCCTCCTTCTCCTCCTTCTTCTTGTAAGGAACCGGTCGTTTTGGAGGCTAAGAGAGGGGTAGACTACATATAGGAACATGAGATTAGAAGAAATTCATAACTTCTATATTAACTATAACTATCGCAGTAATGTCAAAGACGAACGTGAGAGAGATTACTAAGTGAAAAAGATAGTTAGACTTAACAATCTGCGTTAGCTAGGCTCTAATATAGTTGAGAGATAAAGCTTATAATTTGAAATATAAACCTTCCTGGACTGCAGAGTGCGACAGTATTTATCCTTATAAGTTAAACCTTAGTGCCTTACTATATCCTGCACTGCTCTAATGTTATAATTTCGTCTTTAGCCTGATGGTGTAAGCACTTCCTCTCATGCAACCTTTTCCACCTTAGCTTCACTAACGATTGAGGAGCAAGCTCTTATGATCATACTAATCCTGTCTCCTGCTCTCTTGCCCCCTTTTTAGGTCTATTACTAGAGCTTTCCCAACCGCGTCTTTACCGTCTAGCTTATGCTTTAATATCAACTAAGCTATTTCATTTTGCCGCCAATTATCCACGTAAAAGGGAAGTATGCCAAGCCACTATGCGTGTAGGATTTTGGAACTACCTATATCTAAAGTCACACAATCTCCAGCTCGCTCCTTATTTGATTAAATGGTCCAGGATCAGCAGAACGGCACAGCAGACCGCGTGATAGTGTTCCAACAAGATAGAGTTCATGTTTAGTTGAATGGATATTAGGCGGACATCATGCTGCTCCCTGTTATTATAGATTCAGCCCTAATCATATCAGACACGCATAATGCGACAGAGTTTATCTAAGACACGTATGCTGTCTAATCCCGCCCGGTGGAAGCTGCAACGCAACTGAGGGAGGCGTATACCAAAAGAAGGCGCAGCCATGTCATCGTGAGGCATTTTCTTGACTGGACAGGGCGCTATATGATAGATTACTGCAGTTGTAAACTGACCACGTCTAACCGCGTCTGCTGCGCTTTCGCGAGCTTTGTGCGTCTCGTTACAGTATATGCCTAGAGTTAAGAATTTCTTTGGGGGTGGCCTCCGGGCATGCGCGGGCCAATCGTCTTAAGAGACGGGAAAGGGGAAGCAGGGCAGAATGACACGGGGGTAGGCAATCAACCTGGCTCTGAAGGCGTCAGGGGACGGAATCTCATGAACTGCAAGCACGGGACTCACGGTCTTCGATAAGAGGAGTAGTGTAAGAGCTATGCGTTAAGCCTAGGAGAACTAGGAGGGCTCAGTAGGAGTTAATGGGGTGGAAAGGTGTGGGTAGATTGGTTAGGCGCCGCAGGGATTGCCAACGCCGCGGAATGAAACAGAGGTGAGAGGGAGAGATGAGGTACTAGGAGAGGAGAGTTGGCCTATAGAACGAAAAAAAGAGTTAGGTGAGAACAAAGATCGAAGTGGGCAGGGCGCCCTTTATAGACGAGAAAAGCAGTGAGGGGCTGGATAGGGGCTAGAGAGACTAAGTGAGTGCCGCTAAACCCGGCGGGGCAGGCCGCAACACTAAGATAAAAACCTTAAAACATAAACTACTTTACTAAAAAAAAAAGAAAGTTACTATAGTTTTATACATGTATTTGTATAGCTTTAAGTTTTACAAGTAAGTATTAATAAATAGTAAGCTGTTAATAATGCGTTATAGTTAAATTCACAATTTATAGGGGATTTTAGCAGAATACGCAAATTTCGCGATAACGCCAAGATTTCTACCGGATTTTTGCACGTGATAGATCTGAAAACCTGACTTTAGTGGTGCGGGGCTGCGCCTCGGCACACAAATCACTAGGAAAAAAAGACCAGAAACACATTAATTGGTCCCAAACACCTTTTTTTCAACATATCTACTCACTGTCTCGTTTAGAATTTATGGACTAAATTGACGAAGAGCAAACCTCGAAGGTTGCGACAAAATTAAATTTGGATATATATTTTTAAAAAGTTGATTTATTCTTAAATGAAGACGCTCACAAAATGTTCGGGGCACATGGTCTAGGGGTATGATTGTAAGTAAATGGTTGGTTTCTCTGCTTAGCAGATTCTAATAGTGATAGTTCGCTTCGCATAAGCATGGGATTGTGAAAGGTCGTGGGTTCAATTCCCACTGTGTCCATTTCTTTTTGCATTTCTTACGGATTTTTTTTTTTTCATCCGGCCGTTCTTCGTGTGTTTTTATTCCCTCACAAGTGTGGAGGACTTCAAACACCCTTCTGGATTTTGCTGCCTTCGTGACTTTATGATATATACTAAAGAAAAGGCCAACCGTGCATGATCCAATTCGACAGTTTCTCAAAACAGGACAATAGCGCCATGTGTCATGGCCAGCAATCTCACGTAGGCAATCGCAAGTGGTTGCGAGCAAAAGTGGGCTGTTTTGGAGCTACTCTAGTATGAAGAAGAGAAAGTAAAAGAAGAGTTGCCAAAACTTTTATATGGTGACCTGGTGGCGCTAGTGAAGGCGTGTCATGTGATGTCGTGTGACTTAGCGTGTGAAGACGTCTCCTGTGAATGTGACATGTGACGAGTCGTCACACCATGTGCGGAGCGGAAGACCATGGGAGGTTTGATGCCTTACTCGCTTCCAGATGACACCGATTCTATTCGCACCCCACATCTTTGCACGCCCTAACTTTCGATATGAAGTACTCTATATCCACAAGTCTCATTTCAGAAAGAACGTACATTAGCAGGAGCCTCTTCATTTGCCAGGCCAGATTCGATCAACATGCTCACACACTTCGTCACCGAACTTGCTCAACCTCCACACATCCATCTCGAAGACGGAGATGACCTTACTTGACACACTTCCCCAGCTCCGGGATAAGACACCGTCGCCCATCAGAAACCCACCAACGCCATAATACCTTTGCGTTTCGAATGTTCTTGAGGATGTTATTGGAGTCCGTAGCTAGAGCCCTTTCCTTCCTTTGCAGCTGCATCGAGAACTAATTTTGACATTCTAGCCTCGTTTCCCATTGCTTCGAAGTATCGTTTCGGATTTGGAGTCCGATTGATACTCGCTGATAACAACCTTGGCGTTTATTATACAGTCGTCCAGCCCCTTCGTCAGTCCACTCATTCTTTTTCCCCGGTGTCACCGAGCAACCTCCGGACGTACACAAGAAGTTGGAGAGAACTCGATGAATTGAAAAAACTAAGGATGACGATCCTACTTAAATAACGAGCGAGATGAGCTGGAAGGAGGATTCGTAAGCTGCTGACGTTAATAAGGGAGGATTCGCAATTTCCTGGCGACGACGGAATGAAAACAGTCAAGGAATGAAAACAATGTGGAATGAAAGCAATCGAGGGATGCTCGGTTACACCCGGAGTTCTACAAGCAGTATTTTGTTCTTCTCTTTCAGCCTCAGTATTTTGTTATGTCCCTTATCCCTCCGAATCTCATGGGAGTCATCGCATGCTTGATTAACAGCTGCATGTCAGAACGCCCATCGAATGAATCGCAAATACCCCGATCCATGCTGAAGGGTTTTATGGCTATGGGGAGAGAACATCATGATCATGTTGACTTGTTCAGGTCAAAGTAGCATCGGCAGTTGTGATCGCTAGTCAATAAACTTTCAATGACGGTAGTACGCTGGCGTTTTTGTGTCCCTCTCGATGTCTAGCACCAAAACAGAGAGATGAAGCGAGAAAGGTGGTCAGGAAACACCAAAGTAACGAGCGAAGCCGAAGTACAAGCTCTCAGGCTAGGTGGAATTTGTAAGTCAGTTGCTATCTTTGCATCACTCTGCACGCACTTTCTAATGGAAGTCTACGGTCCCCAGCACAGATAAATTAAGGAGTACAGACAACCAGACTTGGCATTTGTTCTATAACCAAACAACAGCTTTTTACAACCGCTGCTAGGATACACGAGCCCCGATCGTTTGGTGTGCAATCCACTTTTTTTTAGAAAGTTAGGTGAGTTGCCGGGGGCGGAAAGCCAATATCCTATTGACCAAATAGCCCCTTGGAACCCTGGCTCGGTCAAGCTCAGAAATTCACATTATCTTCCGTTTATGTTATTCCCTGGACAGAGAGCTGAAGGTTCTCGATGGAAATCGACCAAGAGAGTACGTTCAGCACCTCGCATGGTTCTCCTTGCTGTATATTGATTGCTAACGATTTCTTAGTTGGAACGCTTCATATTCATGGCCAAACAGCTCAGATTATCCGACTCCTTCAGCATGGATCTCAATTAAACATTGTTCTTGAGACAGCGCAGGTCTACAAACCCGGCCTGCCGATGAAACGAAGACAAGACCTTGGGATTCTAGACTAGTAACTTGACATTGGGTTTCGAAACGCGAAACTGTTCTGCTGGACGCGTCCGTGGTTTCCACCGTTTTTTTTTTCTGACCCACCCCGATCGGAACGTTGCTTTGTAGAGACAGTATGGGCGCTCGACAATTTACCGGTGCTTGCAAGAAGAATGCGTCCACTCTCATGACCATCTCTCCATGCCTTAATAATCGTCCTCTCTACATTACTGCTTGGTGTTTCCAACAAGTGTATGTAGATCCTGGTATCGCCCACAAGAGATGAGGTTGATCGGGCACATTGTAACCGAGCGCACTGGAGTGAAAGTCATGGTCAATCTGATGATGCATTGAGAGCTATCTAGGTGATATATATACATAAAGGAGTGACTAGGCAGATGAGTGCCAGGCAGGTTGCAAACAGGTAGCGTAGGCAGTAGAGAGTTGGCGTAGGCTACAATAGACTAGTGTAGCAGCAATTGTGACACACATTCGAGATTTATTTAGTTCAATTTCACAGTACCCAGCGTTCGTAACGTATTTTACATTAACAAGGTCAGGATAATAACCTGGTGGGTGCTGGGTATCTCCTCCCTTCCTCTTCATTTCCTGTGAGTAGTCTCTTAGTTTTTTAAAATGGATCCATTGGTGCATGTTCTTGACCGAACATGGTTCAGTATGACGTCAATGCTATTCGATTGGTTCCGAATATGTGACTATGAAATGCTTGCTAATATTTTTGCCCAGATACAACTCCGCTATATACAGTGCACGACTGTCGAACGATGTAAATATCCTGGTGGTTACGCCACAATTTCTCAAAGACGGTCCGGTGGATGTGAAGGCTGCGGAGATTACTTCTTCACAAAGAGCCAAGGTCACGACGACACATCGTCGTCAACATGGTTCATTCACCTTTGTAAATTTCACGATTGATTCTAGCTAGGGAACTGGTATTGCCTGGGAATTCGGTTTCAGTTCTTATTGCGACCAGGAATGCATGTTAAAATACAAGCAGAAGGCTACGGACCACTACTTTCACAAGAACATAACCCAAGGAAGCTTGTTTAGAGACCTATCTCACTGCATTTGGAATCAACAAGACCTCCTAGTTGTATCTTCGCTCGACCTCTTTGAGCCTGTGGGACATTCAATTCCCTCCAACAATTCGCTTCCACTCTCGACCTACTCATCTGGACTGAGTGGAAATAGCGGATACTAGCAGTGTGAATCTACTAACACTCTAGATTGTCGGAAGAGGAAGGACTTTTGACCGTTCGGAGCTTGATACTTGGAATATCATTGGCTACAAGGTTGATTACTGTTTAGAAGCCGAACACGATATCCGCGAGCTATGCAAAGTCAAGTACTTGTGGCCATATATGATCGGTATGTACCCCCTCTTAGAAGATTACATTGAGTTTTCTTTGCTGATGGGCCAAGCTATCTGCTGTACGAATTGGTGCAAATGTATATGCATCATTTGAACTGCAGCACTGCAAGGACAAAAAAATGATCAATGGTTAGCAACAGTTGGCGATGCTGTCGCATCTTTCCTTGATCGGAATGATCGTTTCACAGAAAGCATGTCTTTATCAGGTGCATCATTAGTGCCACAAGATGATCAACGCAAATCGTGTATATCCATGTTGTCGGATTCCCATCGACAAGCCAGGAAGAGTTCAGAAAGCGGATCATGGATGGATGGCGGATGGATATGTATCCATCAATGTAGAATACTAATAACTTGTATGTCCTTTCTCAAATTTTGGTAACTGCAGTTGACGACCTCCATACATCCACAGCCATGCTCAACATGATAGTAGTGATTGTCTATCTCATCGCCATTGGCCTCCGTATCACTTCAAAAACTTTATCCATAGGAGCAACATATCCAGCTGTCATATCCGCTGCTTGACATCAACAATTGCCCGAAGATCAAGGTGCGAGCTATTTCCTTGTATGACACCCGTTCTCCATTAGAAGAGAGTATGATGGGTTAAATGCAGAGAGATAAAGTTCGTTGGGTTAAGCCCGGTCACTGTCCCTTCACAAGCGCACGAGATGTGAAGCCGCCGAAATCTGGAAATATGTACATTTGAAATAAGACGTAGAGCATCCGAGATGCCTTAATAGCCACCTTCCCAAGTGCCTTAACTGTGGGGACGGACTAAGGGCAGAAACGAGTTATATGGGAAAGACAATATCATATAGCACTTTTAATTTCTGATATCAAATGTCTTCTGCGAATGGATCATCTCTCTTGTGTGCTCTTTCCTGGTCGTCACGGTACACTAATGCTCCTTATCCTCTCAGCACTCATCCCTCCTCCTTCCCTTCTCGTTACCACTCAGACCAGCTAACCGCTTTACCATTTTCACCCTGCTTTACGCCACATTCCCCATCCCTGTGTATGCCAAATAATTCTTACCACTCCACAACAAATCAAAACAGGGCACGTGGTCTAATGAAGGATGATCATGAATTTTTATGTATCCTAGTTAACACATGGCTGTTGCCGGGTAAGTCTCTCTATGAACTTGCACTACAAACCGAACCCAGACGGCGCAAGTGCTTTCCGATATGAACTTTACAAGATAAAGCTATGGCAAAATATGGTAAAATTTAAGTGGACAATTTACTACCGTCTCCTGCTGAGTTTTCTCTCACAGAAGAACTAAGTTTATGTTGGGGAGAGATTTAGATATGTTCCAAGGGGTGTCATGATTATCTTGCTCTTATCTCGTTTCCTCTTCAGTTTTAGATATAGAGAGAGAGTGAAACAGTGCAAAGAGAGTGCTTCTCAATATCCTCCTTCGAATTTGGAAATCAATTTCACCAATCCTTCACA